ATGTAAGTAAACTGGTAGACTGAAAAAGTTTTGCTAAAGGCTTATTTAAAAATAAGCAGGATAAAGTATAGTTTATCCACACAGTAGAGTATTACGTGGTAATAGCACACTACACATACTAACATGGATGAGCTCTGGAAAGAAGCCAGTCAGGAAAGAGTACATATTGTATGATGTGTATGAAATTGAGAGTGGACAGCCAATTCCATGGAGAGAGATGATGTAGGCAGATAAGAAATTAAGCATACAATGCTAAAGTTTTAGGATTTCTTTTGAGAATATTGCTCTGAAGTTGGTTTTGATGATTGCCTGATTGCTGTGATTATATTTTAAAAAGTTTGAATTGTGAATTTTATGTAGATAAGTTATAGGTTGTGTGAACTTTACTTTGAAGTTATAAAAATTTTAAGAGTAGACAGATTAAGGGCATGTGCACTAGACAAGACATGACAGTATGAGTAACAAGATCTAAGGTTGTTGGCCAGAGTTAAAGACACACTTGAGATTGTAGTTAAAAACATTAAAAATGAGAATAATTAGCATGCTGGGGCTTTGGGTGACCCTCAGACACATCTAGGTACAAGAGTTCCATTTAAAACCAATGTTGGGGTTTCTCCAGGCATCTGATGAGAGAACCATGAACTCGGGAGTCAGGTAAGGAGAATACAAAGAAGGACGTTGTCAGCATGAGCCTGGTGGGATTGAAGACTGGGCTAGGGTGTTCCAGAGAGAATGAATGACCTGGAAAGAAGAGGAGGATCAGAGAGTGGGATAACTGAAATGAGAATTCAGTGGTCACGGGTAGATCGTGGAACATACCTCTTAGATGCAGTGGAGACACGGTGGTTGTGATAGAATTGAAGCCAAGTCATCGGCCAAGAAGAGGCAGAGTGACTGAGCCCTTCCTCCTAGCTGCCTTCCTCACCTAGTCACATAGGAAGGAGGTTCCTGCTTCCTTAAAAGAGCCCATGTACATTTCAATATGCTGTGTGAAACTGCCCAACTAATTGTTATAATTCCTCTAGTATTAAATCAGACCTTTTTGTGTTCATTAAATGTTTCATATCTTTCTCCCTAACTATGGCAAAAAGCCACCCTGTATATTTATGTAGATACTAGGGTCCATATTGGCCTCCAGGAAATCAGCCTCCTGCCCCCTTTTTAAATTATGAAACCATTATTTTTTGAATAATCATAGGAAATATTCATGATTTGGGTTTTTTGAGTTAAACTTCAATGTATCTTTTGTTAAAAGTGTATATCCATACTCGGGTTTTTTTTTTTTTTTAATCTGCCCTAAAAACTTTACTAAAAAGAAATTTCAATTTGTGTAATCCCTTTTTTGTTTTGAGCAGTAAGGTATACATTCAGCTTTTTAAGTATATTACCATGGGGGACCTGAAGTCCTTTTGCATCTTTGTGTTACCATGGGAAATGCATTTTTTTGTCTTCAAAAGTTACTTTTCATGATACCTTGGCACTTCCATCCACTTTTGCAAAGCATAGAGCCATGTTTTCATCTCTCAATAGTCCTGACCATTAAATGTCTCAGCCCTGGCACCTTTCAATTCAGTCTCTTAATCACTGTGCTAGATCTTTAAATAAGAACCTGGCTACTCTGCCATGTCCTACTCCACCTTGCTTTCTAGAAGGATCTTTCAGAACATAAGATCATTCGTCTGTGCTCAGAATTCCTCTGGTTTCTACCATGTAAGTGAAGTCTAGGTTCCCATGGCTTGTAAGGCCTCTGGATTGCCTTGGCCCACCAGATGAGCCTTTTCCTCCTTTGCTACTCTGTTCCCCTCTTCATTTGTCAGTAAAAGTCTTTCTATTGTACTTCTCTGAATAATGCATTACTGCAGCACCTTGTGTAGCTTTCTCAATAGCTACTCATTTTGGCCACCAACAATCCAGCCTTACTCAGATAGACCTTGTATATTCTTTTCTTCAAGACCCAAACCACATTTCGCTTGTGATTCCCTCACATCTACACTCCAACTTTATCATCTCTGTTTTGTGTTCACATACTATCATGTGCCATCTCCTATCACAGTTGGAATTTTATTTCTAGTAGACTTTGTCCCCTTCGAAAGATTTATATCCCTGACCTCTTAAATGAGTTAAAAATGTAAAGTTGACTTTCAATATGTAAATTTTTTAAGGTTTATAATTCTAGAAAACTTCAGTGATACATTTCCAGATAAAATGAATCACTGCTTAGAATGGCAACTTGACCTGAAAAACTCCTCAAATAATACTAGCTTTCCTAATAAAGGTTTTTCTTCCTTGGGGGTGGGGGTGGGGGGACCAGGTATTGAACTCAGTCCCTTGCGCTTGCCAGGGAAGCGCTTATTCCACTGAGCCATCTCCCTGGCCCCCTAAAGGTTTCTTAATAAAAATGAAATTTGCATGCCTATTAACGGCATCTGCTAACTTTTGAACAAAATAGCTTCTGTATTTTTGTTGTTGTTTTGTTTTTTTGCGGAACCAGGAATAGATCTCAGGCCCTTGTGCTTGCCAGGCAAGTACTTATTCTACTGAGCCATCAACCCAGCCTTCGTTTTAAAAGTAGTAGATGTTCACTTTAGCAAATAAAACTCTAAATAAGTTTAGTGTTCTTTTTAAAGTCCAAGTCTAGTCAAAAGGCCACTTGGGCCTATGGAAAAATTCTGTAGCAAAATCTATAAATTAAAATCTATAAATTTTATTGATCCATAAAGGCTTAAAAGGAAATTGATATATACACTCTGTGATACATGGTACGAAGAACCAGCAAGGTGTTTTCTAGAGACGGAGGCTTACGTCTTATAAAAATCCATTGCCCATTTTCTCTCCTCTGCCCAACGTAGAGGTAGCCTTTCACTCTGGCTGTTAAGAGTGATAATTGAAGCCACATCCTCATGGTGAAATTGGGAAGAGGACTTTCCTGTTGCCTTCCAAGAGTATGACTCTGTTTTTGAAGATTCTTCTGAACTTTAACACACATTGCCCTAATTTTTGAGCATTTTGAAATTTGGGTTGGACCTTAAGCCCATGGATGGGTACAACAGTAGCACTTGGTTTCCAAACAGACTTTCTGATAAAAGCTTGCTGGGAAGGTAAAGTTTGGTTGGCTTTGAGTGCTTTTATATAATGAAATCTCAAATTGTTCATAGATGTAAATATTTTAAGTGCACTAATTTTGGAACTATACACTTTAAAAAGTTGAGAGCAAAAAGATGTTTTAGATGCTTTTGTTGTATTATTCAGTAATCTTCACTAAATACTGAAAAAACCTTGTGTGCCGTTTCATTTCAGTCTGTAATACGGCCCACATGGTGGTCCTGGGTATGTTTATTATCGGATTTTCCTAGTGTCAGTCTTGAGTCTGAAAAGACTGAGTTATCGCTTCTATCCATTTCACAGTACCGGGCTTTTTGTTGGTGATCATCAACATGCCTCCCACCTGACATTTCCAACATGTGTACACATGTACATGTATGCTCAGTATATATTTTTTCCCAATTCAAATGTACTTTAATCTCATAGATATTGAAGGTGTTAGGATGTTTGTCACTTTCTAAATAGATGTGTGAAATAATTTTAGCAGCTAATGAGGCACTGAATTTAGTGTATTTTATTCCATTTGATCTTCATAAGTGACTAGCATTATTACTATGTCCATTTTACAAACTAGACTACCACAGCACATATCCAGGATCACTCGAGCAGGATTATTTTTCACTGAACATATTCAAGCATATAGAAGAAGGTAGTTGAAGTAAATACTAAAGCTAGTGGTTTTCCTGTTAATAGTCATATCCACTAGTATGGTGACACACACCAGCAGTCCCAGCACTCGGGAGGCTGAGACAGAATCGCCACGCATTTAAGGCCAGCCTGATATAATGAGGCCATGTTTGAAAGTATATATGTTGTTATCATTGCATTTCTGGGTCCATTTTGGTGGTTAAGTCCAGTAGAACAGGAGACCATCTATTATGATTAGCAAAAGCTGAAATAGTTACCTTTTTCATGTTTATACACAAAATGCAGAGACGTGTAGGGCTTGAAGTTGACTCCAGTTGTTAGTATGTTAGAGGAAAAGAAGCTGAAATGAGAACTAAAGTATTGGGCCATTTTTCTGTTAGTGTAGTGTCACACAAGCATTTGTTACCATTGCCAAATGATAGGCATAACCTATAACTTGTTCAGAGACCCTTGTGTATAACATGACTAGAGAATGATTTGATGCCTGTTTCATAAGTGAAGAACCAAAACAAATTTTACGTTTTCCTCATCACTGAAATGTTAAGCTTGTATGATAACAATGAGCAGCTCTTACATAAATGGGGAAATTAAACTGTTAAGTCTTTACCATTCAACAGCTGAGTTGAGCTACCTTTGGAAGAATGAGTAGAGGTTTATAGATAGCTGACCATTTCACATTGTTCAGCAGTGCCTATGGCCTAGTAGCTTAGACATGTGCTACCAAAAAAAAACTGCAAAATAGTTCACATATATGTATAGATCCTTTGTTTTCTAAACATTAGTGTTGAAACGGTACATACTTTTTAAGTACATGAGTCAGTGTAGTATTGTGAACTAAGTGTCACAGAATCAGTACGTTTCTGGATTTTGGTAGGTCATTGACCTCTTTCCTACAATAATAAGTTGAATTCAGAAAAACAGCCTTCATAGGGTTGAATAGCCATTGATAGTTCTTTATCTCATTGAGACACAGTACATTGTGTTTCTCAAATGCTTCAAAGACTTGAAGTGGTGAAACAGTTCTTTGGGGAGGCTACAGATCAGACATTCAGTGTTTACTTAAGCACAGAGTTCTCTACAATGATGGCCTTAGGGTATTACTGGGCCACCTCCTGGGTTTGGGGCTGATTGGCACCCTGCTTGAAACTAAAGTTCTGGGTTGTATTTGTTTGCTTTAAAAATCCATAGGGAAACAACTGAAAATAGAATGGTGTTTTCTATGGCATTTACATTCTTTTGCTGTCTTTCAGGCACTCAGGGAGTTGCACCTGGTCCTGTAATTGGGCTGCAGGCACCGTCAACTGGTCTTCTTGGTGCCCGACCTGGCCTCATCCCACTTCAGCGCCCTCCGGGAATGCCTCCCCTTCACTTACAGTGTTTTCCTATGATGCCACCACGCCCCATGCCACCACACATGATGCACAGAGGGCCGCCACCAGGACCAGGGGGCTTTGCCATGCCACCACCTCATGGAATGAAAGGGCCCTTCCCTCCACACGGGCCCTTTGTCAGTCCTGGTGGAATGCCAGGGCTTGGGGGCCCAGGTCCAGGCCCTGGGGGTCCTGAAGACAGGGATGGAAGGCAGCAGCCGCAGCCCCCACCACAGCAGCAGCAGCCGCAGTCACAGCAGCCACCTCCGCCACAGCCACAGCAGCCACCTTCTTCACAACAGCCACCACCGGCTCAGCAGCAGCCACAGCCATTTAGAAATGATAACAGGCAGCAGTTCAATTCAGGTAGAGACCAAGAAAGGTTTGGAAGAAGATCTTTCGGAAATAGGGTGGAAAATGACCGGGAACGGTATGGGAACCGTAATGATGACAGAGAGAATAGTAATCGTGAAAGGAGAGAATGGGGAAGAAGAAGCCCTGAACGGGACAGGCACAGAGACTCAGAAGAGAGAAATAGACGCTCTAGTGGGCATCGAGACAGAGAGAGAGATTCTAGAGATAGAGAGTCGCGTAGAGAGAAGGAAGAAAGCCGAGGAAAGGAAAAGCCTGAGGTGACAGACAGGGCCAGTGGGAACAAAGCCACTGAACCTCCCCTTAGCCGAGTGGGCAACATAGACACTGTTTCAGAACTTGTTAAGGGGGAGGCGGAGGCCACTGTGGTGAAACCTCCTGAAGAGTCACCTGCTGAGGCTACCTCATCCGTTGAACCCGAAAAGGATTCTGGCTCAGCAGCAGAGGCTCCTCGCTAGAGACTGAACTTGTCCAAATGTGACAGTGACACTTGCAGAGTGTAGCGCTTGGGGTGTACAGATGCTGTATTATATTTGCTCCTGCTATATATCACAGCCCCGCAGTAGTTGGTGGGGAATTGTAAGCAATTTGATTGCTTCCCTTCTATTTAAAAATAGCTACAAAATAACAAAAAATACTGAAATACGAATAAATATTACCCTTTTTGCTGTAACTTTTTTAAAGTTTTGACTTTAAAAAGTTTACAAATCGTAATTAGAAGTGCTCTCTATTTTTTTTTTTAATTTAAGACAAGGTAACGGTGAAAGCTCCTCAAAACAATAGGGATGTTTTTAATAAACTCTATTTTCGTAACAAACTTTAATGTGTGCTATTCTTCCTATACTGCACTAAGGTGGAAAAGGATGGTTCACCATCAAAGTCTGAGCTGTTAATAATGTGTTAGTCTAAATTAGACTTATTAGATGGAAATGGACATTTTTATGTAGTTCTTTCATTTGTAATTCTCTTGATTTTTAGCATTTCTGTTAAGAAAAGTTACTTTTAATGTTAGTTGAAAGGCTTGTGTTTCTAATTTAGCCAAGGTTTTCTTTTTTCCATTGGCTTTGTAATAGTGTTGCCCTAATTTGTAAAGAGATTTCACTGGAGAAAAATCAGATTCCCAACATTACGCCTTGTATTATTACCTGATAGACGGGGTATTAGAAGGTTGGGTGCTTGGGGTTTGTGGTTTTTGTTTTTCTGCTCCTGTTAAATTTTCCAAAAGGGTTGTTTCCCATAAGCTTTCCCTGTTAGGCAGAAGCAGGCAGCTTTTGGCCACGTATACAGTGCTTTATCTCTGCTTCCAACAGTTGGGTTGCCTGCTGGTGAGGTAGGCTGGTGCTACAGTGCTTGCTTAGCACCTGAGGCCTGGGTCCAGTCCTTAGTGCAAAAAGAAAACTGGTTAACAAGGGAAATAGCTTTAGGCTCCCCAAGAAATGTAACATGAAAAAACAAACACCAAGTCAAGCCTGTATCTCAGGTGATGTGGGAAAGCATAAAACTGCTAACCCAGCATCAAGACCCAATGTTAGGGCCAGGGAGATGGCTCAGTGGAGTGCTTCCCTGGCAAGCGCCAGGGCCTGAGTTCAATCCCCGGTTCCACCAAAAAAAAAAAAGACCCAATGTTACATAGCCAGCCAAAGCTTTGTTTACTGTGTGCTGAGCAGTTAACTTTTTCCTTGCTCTTATTCCCAGATAAAGCTGTTTTGTGACTTTGGGTTTTAAATAATACTCTGCAGGAAGGTCTTTGTTAGGACAGAACATAGACTAGGTTGATATTATTGTATCCCCCCCAAAAAAGAAAAAAAAAAAATCCCATTTTGTATCAGTGGACTTAGAAAACCTTATTGGCCCAACTTAGTTTAAAAGTCCTAACTAAAACTGCTTTTTTGAAAGAAACAGATTATCAAGTGTCAAGATATAAAAGACTGTCAGCTTGCATTTCCAATTTGCATACGAGAAAAACAATTCAGAAGTACTAACTGGTAGTATGATTTTACTTGAGGCTTCCTCAGGTTAGTCCTTGTATTTGAATCATCCCACACTGAGGTAGCAAATTACACTAGCATACATTTGTTTTAAAATTCTCTACCTGAATGGTCACTAACACTTAGTATAAACATGCTGCTCTTTATTACATCTTTAACTTTGGAAATCCTATTCATGCTATACAATGTCCTATGTGTATCATACAGTTCATATTTATGAATAGGATTACTGTTTATCAGATACTTATGATTTTCAGTTGGGTAACACCAGTAATCCTGATAAAAAATCTGAATTAGATTCATATTTAATTTAAAAGTATTCTTGTCTGAATGTATATACAGTTTCACTAATTGGGTGTATAACTTCTTATATTTCAATGGCCAGACCCACAATGAAACATCCTGATTTTTCTCTTCCAGAGTATATCAAAATCCACCTTGAAAAACTGCAGCAAGCAGATAAATTACTCTTAGCTAACAAAGCATGACTTTTACAAGTTTGTAAGTTACCCAAAAGTGCTTAAACTGTACCATCTTCTTTTATAATAAATATTTTATGAATCAAGTTTCCCTGAAGGTGACAGAGGACAACCTATTTGTCCAAGATCAAAGTTTAGGTTGCCATAGCTAATAGACAAGCTGCTAAATGTATATGCATTTTGATGGCTTAACTTAAAGACACTTTGAAAATACCGTTAAGAAATGGTTCAAGTTATGTGAGTGTGAAAGCTCATTGACAGTTTTGGTGTAGATACTGTGGGATATCAAGTAATTAACACCTATTCTCAACTTTTAAAGGCTCAAAGTGCCACATAGGGTATTTATTCACAGGCTTGAGCAAGCATTGAATATCAGATGGTAAACTTAATATCTACATATGATCAAGTCTGGCAACATACAGAAATTGAAACACATTTTAATCGAGTTTTATAAAACCATACAAATCTTCCAAGGGAACATAAATCAGTTGTCATTACAGAAGTACTTTAAGCAACTAAGAAAAAGTCACACAAATTACACTTTAAAGATTACAGCGTTTAATGCTTTTCAAGTTGAATTTCTACAGCTAGCAGGATGACATGAGTTACTAGGACTCAGACCACACAGCAGGGAATGTTCACTGGGCAATCCCAATTACGCCACATGCCAGACGACTTCCAGCATTGCCTGTCTTCGTACTTTCTTCATTTCCACCTTTGCCCAGGTCATCTGGTTTCTCGTGGACCTTTAAAGAAATTAAGAACGTTTAGCTGTGCGATATCAAGTAATTAACACCTATTCCCAACAATACTCCAAAGACTTCTAAGAACAATTAATATTAGAAAACAGTATGTTAAAATAACCTAGTAGGGAATACTGATGTTTGTGCTAGCAGTTTAAAAGTAGAAACTACTACATAAAGCTCCTTGTTGGGGCAAAGACATGTTACCTGGGTAAGTTGCTATTTCCTGCTTGCAGGCTACCGCATGGTACTCTTAATCCTCCACAAAAACTAAGAGTAACCTTCATTACAGTAAACTCGAGATTTCATGCCAATGCTCTATAGGCCTATGAATCCTTAGAAGTATTTAGCAACAGTACTTTTGCTAAAGTTTTGTCCATCAAACATTCATAACTGATTTTTCTGCTTTACCAGTATGACTGAAGAAAATCCTAAGGTTTGAAAGGCCTTCTGAGCTTAACTGGCCAGGGGGAGGAGGCAAGAAGCCAATGCAGCTCCCTCTCAGGGGGACTTGGAAGAGCCCTCCCACAGAGTAAACAGTAATACTAATGGGGACTCAACAAAGTGAGTTGAAATAGGAAAGGAAGGAAACAGTCATGGCTAGAAAATCTCGCTCTCTGAAACTAAAGGCTACTGTTTTTAAAATTCATGTCTAACATGATCAAATGTAACCTGCCTTTACTTAGGAAAACAGCTTCTGACCTAACCTAGATAAAATTGCTTTCACAGTAATTATCCTATAACAAAACTGCTGTTCCCAATCTGAACTGAAATACAATTCATGTGACTTTAGAAGCCAGGAGCAACCATCTATATAAAGTGATGGAAAGACACATGGCTGTGTACTACAAGAAATTTTACACATATCCTCCTTATACGAAAACGTACCACCATCGTGCGGCCAATGATGGAATTCACCCCGGACAGTGAGATCAGAGAATCCTCAATGGATACATGGGCCACACCATCTGCGCCAGCAGTCACATTGCCCAGGTCTCCAACGTGCCTAACGGTTAAAAGCCATCAGATGGATTAGAACTGGATTCTTCTGAACACCAGGAGTGCACAAGCTAAATTAAACAAGTAAGGGTAGGCTCAGAGTATTCTCACGTAAGACTACTTTTCCACATTAATCTGAAAAAGTGAACCTAAAAACAAGCAGCTGGATTCAGTTCTTCAATCAAGGCTTTCAGTCCACAGTAATGGTCTGCAGAGGGTCACGAGATGGGGCACACCCGACTTTAAAACATCAACTGGTGAAGGCTCAGCTACTGGGTTATGCCTGCTAGTTATTCACACAGTTAAGAAAGATACACCCCTTAGGCCTCTGCTATAAAAATTAAACCTTGTTCTTAAATGTAATACTTTCCTCAAAGGCTTTCAAAAACTTACACATGGAAATGGGAGTCTCAACTACTTTTCACTACCAAAATTTTTACCTACAGAAGGTTGTTTCACAATGACATTTATTTTGCTAACGGTTGACAGTACTGTTGTTCATGACATTTCTTGTATTAGTTCCCTTTGGCACTTGTATTAGTTCTATATGCAATAAACACTATAAAACCAATTTTTTTAAGCGTCCCCATCTATCAACTCCTTAGTCCAGGAAAGAAGGCATTCCAGGGCTTGCGGATGGTGGGTGTGAGGGAGACAAAAACTCAAAAGCAAAGGGAGGGAGACTGCTCATATCTTGGTTTCTGCGAGCAGTAACCACACTGACCCCACAAAGCCCTCATCATTGCAGTATAAGAGCTAAGCATCTTGCTGCTCACCTCTCTTCATCCTTTGGCCCACCGTGTTTTTTGGATAGAGGGTTAAAGTGAGGGCCTGCACTGGTACAGCCTGTTTGCAAAAGAAAAAAGCTAAATTGTGAATCAAAATAAACCATAAATTCTAAAAATAAAGTGATGACTGCTAAAACATCCAATGATGAAAGTGCTGACCTGCATCACCATTTCTGGGGTAATAAAACCAAGAAGTAACACCTTGGGCTGGGAACAGAGGCAAGTACTAATTACTGACACTAGTCAAGTTATCATCCTTCTCTGGCTTTGGTCTGTTCTTCGTAAAATATGGAAGTCAGAGATCATGTTCAATGGCTCTCTGATAACTAAAATCCCATGACTGGGACCCTGGTTTCTAAGAAGGTAGCATGCTTTATCTCCCCACACACAAACCTCCAGTGTTCTGTCTGCAGCCCTTACTTGGTGCAAGCAGAATATTAAACTGCACCTGTGTCCAAGGGGCAAAGCTACAGCCCGGCACAACTCCACAGGCAGCATTCTGAGTGCATCCTATTTAAATGGCACTACTGTAGACCACTGGATGCCATTCACAACTGAGGTGCAGGAGATCCAGTTTCCTGTGCTTACAGCTGTGCAGCGGAGCCCCACATAGGGTGAGAGCAAGTGGGTGAGAGGAGGTCACTCAGCAAGTCAAAGCTACAGAGCAATCACCTCCCAAACCAGAGGCAGAAGCATCAATTCTGGTCATTACATAAGTGCTGAGAACCAAACCATGGGCTGTGAAACATGTGCAAGCAAAATGGATCCAGTTCTCGTAAGGAGTCTATACCCAAAGTTCAGATTATTACTCAAATACAGCAAAAGAGCACCTAATACAGTTTTACTCATAGTTTTGTTAACTTGCTTCCAATCTCAAATTGAGAGAAATCAAACTCATCGCAAAGCACCACTACCCTCTAGTTGGAACTTGTATCTCCCCCTCATACTGGAGACTGAACCTAGGGCCTGCCCCTGAGCCAGACTGCCCACCTGTGGATGCACCACTGTCCTTTCTTGCTGGGTGTGACACTGTTCTTACCCAGAGTACTACACATGCACACCAGAGCCTGAGCCTACCGCAGCCACTTTCAACACCTGGCGAGCTGACGCACATCACCTACCTTGTGTGTTATCGCCAAACTGATGGACATGGAATCCGTGCTGGCCTTCAACCAATCCTGTAATGCGTCCCTTTACCACAACTGGCCCGTTTGCCTTTATTCAAGGAAAAGTGCATTAAGTTTAGTAGCCCAAAAATACCACTCTATGTCACTGCACCTGACAGGAGCAAGTCTAGTCTACGCAGTTACCTCGAAAATCTAGGTTAACTTTCCCTGAGAACAAAATAAAAACAGGAGGGAAAAGCAAAGCTCTATCGCACACGGCTACATCCGCTATTCTGGTTACTATCACAGCTAAAAGGTGACCTCAGGAACTGAGGGAATACACACGGCGAGGCACCACACCACACAGTGAGGTACACTGCTTTGTTTTTAGGTTGGCTTGTTTCGTTAAACTGCCAGGACCAACAGGTACAAAATTAAACTCAAGGATCAATTCTCCCTCTCCCTCTTAAAAAAAATTTTTTTTTCTCCCTCCCCTGAATTTCACACACCTGTGTGCCTTCCATACATTTTTGTACACCACTTCAGGCAAATCTCACTCATAGAGTAAATACTCCAGGTTTTCAGGCCACAAGCATCAAAATTTTCCAGGGCCAGGGAGATGACTCAGTAAGTGCTTCCCTAGCAAGCGCGAGGGCCTGAGTTCAATCGCTGGTTCCACACACAAAAAAAAATTTCCTCCAGTTGGTAACCTTGAAGTTTGTAATGACACATACTCTGGCAACTGCCTTTTTCATTTTTTTAGAAACTATACTGAGTCTTCACAGTACAGCATTAATTCTCAAAAAACATGAATTTTCCTACCCAACCACAGTGTTACTAAAGCAGACACACAAAAAGGACAGGGTCTTTGAAACCTCCATTTATTGGGTAATGCACAGCACTTTGAAGAAGTTCTTCAAAAACTGGGCCATGGGGCCTGCTCCTTAGCTCAGTTCTTTAAGAGGCTGCTTCCACAAAGCAGTCAGGCTCAGGTTGCTGTGGTTTGATCCCCACAACTCAAGCCAGCCAAACCTGCCCTGCAGGCATGCAGAGCAAAAAAAAAAAAAACTGGGCCGCGTTGTGTGATGGTGGTGAACATGGTCCCTGTAGGCTGGGAGTGAGTGACACACAGGCCTGGACAGCCAAACAGGAGGATAAACTGCCCCAGGACCATGCTGTCTCGGGCTAAGGGAGGCCTAGCAAGAACACATCTCCAAAGTCTTCAAGATAAAAGGGGTGGGGAGGGGGGCAGATGAACTTGGAAACTGGTCCTAGGGGTAAAAAAAAAAATCCCATTTTAAAAACAGTGCAGCTAATCTGAAATTTTAAACACTCAACAGGCCAAACTAAAAGAGTTTCTTCATCACCAATGAACTGCATGTGCCAACCTGCAGAGCTACAATGCTGAACTATACAAAGGTCTTCATCAAGTACAAGGGGTACGAATACGAAGTCTGCAAATGGGCTGAAGACCCATGCCGCTGCTCTCTGCATCTGGCAACCAGACAGCAGGGCTTCACACTCATCACTGGGCACAGGGACCGGCCCTCAGAAGCCACCAGGACTTACCAGTACTGGTGAGTTATGCGGTGAAGAGGAAGGAAAAAGGGGCGGTAGCAAGTCTTACAAACGAAGCTCTGCAAAATTTAGCCAAATGCAAAAATACACCTTTTTTCCAAAATATAGAGACCAATTAAAAGAAAAAATTAAACACAAATATCAGTTCTCCCTTGAATAAACTGCAGAGACTTGAAAGCACTGTTTCTGTTCATTCATGTATTAAATATTCTTTCAGGCAGCGTGTAACAAAACTTCCCGCCAGTCGGCAATTCCACTAACATTCTACTGACAGTCTTATCACATACACCTTCCTTGCAATGCACATGCTCTTCAATATTACTGACAATGGATATGCTTGAAAATGTCTTATAAAACTTGTTCAGAAAATCGAAGGCCAACAGTATTACTTAGCAGTACGGAGCATACACTAGGCCCTGACTTCAATCTCCTGCACTAGAAAATGTTTAACTGTCTCAGCAACCTGCCTACTGGTAGTGCAATTCTAAAGTCACCCAGGGTTTACCAGTACTGATGAATTATGTGGCGAAGAGGAAAAAGGGGCAGTAGCAAGTCTTACAAACGAAGCACTGCAAAATTTAGCCAAATGCAAAAATGTATCTTTTTTCCAAAATACGGAGACCAATTAAAGAAAATTTAATTGCCAGCTCCACGTAATGGAAACTTCAGGTCCGGTAATCTCCAAACTCCACACCCCACCACTGTACACAGGTCTCAAGCCTACATACAAATTAAAACCACTTTTGAAACTTTAAAAAATATTTTAAAAATAAAACTGTAATGATTGCACTGAGACAAATCTTTCTGTAAAATTGGTCTGGGGCTGGGCCCTGGAATCTGTTTCCTAAAAGGCCCCTGGGGGGACAATCTTCAGCCCTGGAAAATCCTCCAGGACTCGTTAAGGTCTCTTATTTGTGGAGCCCTGAAACAGTAAAAAGATACGTGTCCAAGGCCACCTTTGTCACTGCGCCTGACCATGACCCAGAACAGGAGGGCCCAGCACTTGCCGGCGAAGCGCCACATAAGCTCTCTGCTGTCAGTTCTTCACAATTATACAACATAAAAACCAGTGCTAGCCCCACAGCTCCACGCAAACAGTTCGGAGAGGTCTGATCGCTACTAAGCACTGAAGCCCAAAAGACGGCCCCAGAGTATAACGGACGCGGGCCCCGCGGCGCTCCTCAGCCCCGGAAATCGGACTGCGCCACTCTGGGTCCCCAGGGCCCTCCGCAGCAATAAGCAAAAACGAACCCACCACGCGCGGCCCTCCCGGCTCCCAAGCCGTCCGCTTCCCAGCCTCCGCGGAGGCCGAGGCCCGGGACCAGCACCACCCCCGCGCGGGCCTGCGCCCCCGCCCGGAGGCCCGAGAGCTCTGGCCCAGCCCCGCCCGGCCGCGTGTGACTCAGCACCGAACGGGTGCACGCGGGC